GATTAGTGCAGAAGCTAGAGCATCAGGCGCATATAACAGGAAGGGCACTGCAATGGATCAGAGAATACCTGACAGGGAGGCAACAACGAGTCATGGTACGTAATGATGTATCACAGTGGGCACCTGTGACGAGCGGGGTCCCACAGGGGTCGGTCCTAGGACCAGTGCTATTTTTGGTATATGTGAACGACATGACGGAAGGGTTAGACTCAGAAGTGTCCCTGTTTGCAGATGATGTGAAGTTAATGAGGAGAATTAAATCTGATGAGGACCAGGCGGGACTTCAAAGAGACCTGGACAGACTGGACACCTGGTCCAGCAAATGGCTTCTCGAATTTAATCCTGCCAAATGCAAAGTCATGAAGATAGGGGAAGGGCACAGAAGACCACAGACAGAGTATAGGCTAGGTGGCCAAAGACTGCAAACCTCACTCAAGGAGAAAGATCTTGGGGTGAGTATAACACCGAGCATGTCTCCGGAAGCACACATCAATCAGATAACTGCTGCAGCATATGGGCGCCTGGCAAACCTGAGAACAGCATTCCGACACCTTAGTAAGGAATCATTCAAGACACTGTACACCGTGTATGTCAGGCCCATACTGGAGTATGCAGCACCTGTTTGGAACCCGCACTTGATAAAGCACGTCAAGAAACTAGAGAAAGTACAAAGGTTTGCAACAAGGTTAGTTCCAGAGCTAAGGGGAATGTCCTATGAAGAAAGATTAAGGGAAATCGGCCTGACGACACTGGAGGACAGGAGGGTCAGGGGAGACATGATAACGACATATAAATACTGCGTGGAATAGACAAGGTGGACAAGGACAGGATGTTCCAGGGAGGGGACACAGAAACAAGAGGCCACAATTGGAAGTTGAAGACACAAATGAGTCAGAGAGATAGTAGGAAGTATTTCTTCAGTCACAGAGTTGTAAGGCAGTGGAATAGCCTAGAAAATGACGTAGTGGAGGCAGGAACCATACACAGTTTTAAGACGAGGTTTGATAAAGCTCATGGAGCGGGGAGAGAGAGGGTCTAGTAGCAACCGGTGAAGAGGCGGGGCCAGGAGCTAGGACTCGACCCCTGCAACCACAAATAGGTGAGTACAAATAGGTGAGTACACAACACACCACACACACACCTACACACCTAAAACAGGCCTAGTGTCTAATCGACATGTGCCTAGGACAAAATGGTAACTAACTAACACACACACACACACACCTAGAAAGGAATGATCTCATCAACAGCAGCCAACATGGTTTCAGGGATGGGAAATCCTGTGTCACAAACCTTCTGGAGTTCTATGACATGGTGACAGCAGTAAGACAAGAGAGAGAGGGGTGGGTGGATTGCATATTCTTGGACTGCAAGAAGGCATTTGACACAGTTCCACACAAGAGATTAGTGCAAAAATTGGAGGACCAAGCAGGGATAACAGGGAAGGCACTACAATGGATCAGGGAATACTTGTCAGGAAGACAGCAGCGAGTCATGGTACGTGGCGAGGTGTCAGAGTGGGCACCTGTGACCAGCGGGGTCTCACAGGGGTCAGTCCTAGGACCAGTGCTGTTTCTGGTATTTGTGAATGACATGACGGAAGGAATAGACTCTGAGGTGTCCCTGTTTGCAGATGACGTGAAGCTGATGAGAAGAATTCACTCGATCAAAGACCAGGCAGAACTACAAAGGGATCTGGACAGGCTGCACACCTGGTCCAGCAATTGGCTCCTGGAGTTCAATCCCACCAAGTGCAAAGTCATGAAGATTAGGGAAGGGCAAAGAAGACCGCAGATGGAGTACAGTCTAGGGGGCCAGAGACTACATACCTCACTCAAGGAAAAAGATCTTGGGGCGAGTATAACACCAGGCACATCTCCACCAAATAACGGCTGCAGCATATGGGCACCTAGCAAACCTCAGAACAGCATTCCAACACCTTAATAAGGAATCGTTCAGGACCCTGTACACCGTGTACGTTAGGCCCATATTGGAGTATGCAGCACCAGTTTGGAACCCACACCTAGCCAAGCACGTAGAGAAACTAGAGAAAGTGCAAAAGTTTGCAACAAGACTAGTCCCAGAGCTAAGAGGTATGTCCTATGAGGAGAGGTTAAGGGAAATCAACCTGACGACACTGGAGGACAGAAGAGAGAGGGGGACATGATAACAACATACAAAATACTGAGAGGAATTGACAAGGTGGACAAAGACAGGATGTTCCAGAGATTGGACACAGTAACAAGGGGACACAGTTGGAAGCTGAAGACACAGATGAATCACAGGGATGTTAGGAAGTATTTCTTCAGCCACAGAGTAGTCAGGAAGTGGAATAGTTTGGGAAGAGATGTAGTGGAGGCAGGATCCATACATAGCTTTAAGCAGAGGTACGATAAAGCTCATGGTTCAGGGAGAGTGACCTAGTGGCGACCAGTGAAGAGGCGGGGCCAGGAGCTTGGACTCGACCCCTGCAACCTCAACTAGGTGAGTACACACACACACACCTGAGAATAGCGTTCCAATACCTTAATAAGGAATCGTTCAAGACACTGTACACTGTGTATGTTAGGCCCATACTGGAGTATGCAGCACCAGTCTGGAATGCACACCTGGTCAAGCACGTCAAGAAGTTAGAGAAAGTACAAAGGTTTGCAACAAGGCTAGTCCCAGAGCTCAGGGATGTCGTACGAGGAAAGGTTGAGGGAAATCGGACTGATGACACTGGAGGACAGAAGGGTCAGGGGAGACATGATAACGACATACAACATACTGCTGGGAATAGACAAGGTGGACAGAGATAGGATGTTCCAGAGAGGGGACACAGAAACAAGGGGTCACAACTGGAAGCTGAAGACTCAGACGAGTCACAGGGACGTTAGGAAGCATTTCTTCAGTCATAGAGTCGTCAGGAAGTGGAATAGCCTAGCAAGTGAAGTAGTGGAGGCAGGAACCATACATAGTTTTAAGAAGAGGTGTGACAAAGCTCAGGAAGCAGAGAGGGAGAGGACCTAGTAGCGATCAGTGAAGAGGTGGGGCCAGGAGCTGAACTTTAGTGGTTTTTAAGTCGTGAACTGCTAGCAGTAATCAGTGGTAGTGACAACGTCAGTGAACAATCCTACGAGTGATAACCAGAGTTATTAGTTAAAAAAAGTCGAGAGGAAGCCTGAAATCTTTAATATTTCTAAGTGTCAAACCGTTAGTGGCTAGTAGGCTTCTGTTGCTACACAGATTCACAGACTTGTCAGACACTGCAACATCATGAAATCTTGGTTCAGAAGATATCTACAAGACCTTCTTCACGGCTGCTACAACTAACCCATCCCTTTGGGTAGGACCTACTTCCACTGGGAAATCCTGCCTACCAGTGACTATGCCCTCGTCTGCTACACGTCCCTATCCACTGAAGCCTATATAAACGCCAGTCTCCTTGCCTTTGCTTCAGAATCTCCACAACCACGGTGCTCTCCACAACCACGGTGCTCTCCACATCAACTCCAAGGCTGAGGGACTGATTACCTCAGTTGGACCAAACATCATAAGTTTCAGTCTCCCATTTGTGGGTTATATGTGTAGAGTACTGGTATGTACATTGTAAGGCAGAATGCTCTGTGAATAAAGACAAAGCTTTGATTATGATCTGATAATGTTTTTTGAGGAAAGATGAGGGATAGTGATTTGGTAAGAGGTAAGTTCCCTGTGGTGCAGGAAAGTGTGCCTGTTGCTTTACCTCATATACACTGTGTATCATTTCATTCAGTGGTCATTCCTTGATTTGGAGGAGTGTTCACCAGTGCTGAGGAAAGTTTAGAGGGCTTCAGTGCAAGGGTTTGAATACGTTTACCTGACCATATTAATACCATTGAAGGCATTTCTTTCAGTAAGTCCATCTCTTATTCAAGTTAAGTATTTTGGTGGTACTGTGCATGGATATTATAGGATCCCCATTGATTCTTGAGGCCATTTTTGAATACCACCTGGTGCTTAACACTTACACTCACTCACCCATTTGACCATAAACAGAAATATCAATCTCAATCTCAAAATAATGAATCTTAACTAGTCATAAGTTGGCCTGTGATACTCCAATACTGAAACTATGTATAGTGCCAAAACAAAAGCATTCACATTGCTAAACTCACAAACTAGTATTTAGTCACTTAGCCATAATACCAACTTACCTCATAATTTTGTAATATTTTAAACTTAAGATTTAATTTAAGTCTGCCCAAAATGCCTAGCCATGCTAGGTGTTCTAGTGGTACACTCTGTAATTATTATTTTACTCATGTAAACCACACAACAACCAAATTCTGTAAACTCGGCATTGTAATCCTTATAGTGAATAAACTTTGAATCTGAAGATTTTCAAGCCCCCGAAGCATTGTCAGACACCAGAGTAAGTAGGAGTATAACAAACTACTGTGTAGTTTATTATTATTATTATTAGTAGTAGTAGTAGTAAGTATTGCAGTATTACACCTACCATCCGACTTCATATTCATATATTTTATTTGGGCATGATACATAGTTGTATAAGGGATTATAGTAGTTGGATGAACATGCCAAAAGCCCCTTGTATGCAAAACATTATGGGCAGGCTTAAAATTAACAAGCAATGAAAGGTTCAGTGGTAGAAATCACAGTACTTACAACCAAGCTTGGTTCTGACCAACCGGTCGTAAGTCAAAATGGACGTAAGTCAAACCTTACTACTGAAAATCAACATCACATTTTTGTAATGATTTTTTATTGTTTTATTTTGGTATTTCATTTTTTACTTTATTTTTTATGCTGTTAGTACTGTATTTTATACTGTTAGGTTTTTGGATAAACACTGCATACAACACAAACAGTTGTTTATTTCCCAGAAATTAGCCATGCAAAACATGGTCGTAAGTCGGATGGTAGGTGTATTTACAAAAAGTGCCAAACACTTATGGGCCATTCAACACTGTCATTGTACATCACACATCCATTTTAAGTTTTTTTTTTTTTTTCAGTTCAACAATAGAGATGTGTGGAGAAAAACCGAAGGAAAGATGCGATGACAAATGCAACATAGAGGAGGTTAAGATGAACTCCTGGGACTCTGATGGGTATTCTCCGCACCGCCTTGTATACGATGATACTCACAGTGATTCATTATCATCTGCATCAGCCGAACTTCATAGCCAGTCCTCGAGTAAATTCGACATTGTTAATTTACCCTTGGATTTATCTAAGCATGGGCCAGTAGTGCAAGTATCATCAAAAGTTTTTCAATGACACAAAAAACTCAAAGAAACTGGAGAGTTAGGTAGTTTGAGGTTATGGTCAGACTCCACCTTAGTTCAGAAGGTTCAGTCACCGCACGAGAGAGCAGAAACATTGACTAGTAATGTCTCACCACATGAGACACCAGAAACATCGACTAGTAATGTCTCACTGCACAAGAGACCAGAAGCATTGACTAGTGATGTCTTACCACATGACAGTCTAAAAATGTTGGCTGCTAATGTCTTGGCGAAAGGATTTGCAAAAGAAAAATAGTGAATTTAAAGTGATACAAAGTTAGCTCAATGTGCATTGGACATTGATAATATTTTGTGTGGTAAAGGAGTGTCTCCCAACTTGTGGACAAGTTTTGTTTTAACTTATAAATTGTTTACATGGAAAATAGTATTAGTGGCTGTAAAAGTTTAATTGATGCCTTATTGTGTTATTTGTAAGTCGTGAAGTGTGTAACTTGTGAAGTGAAAGTGAGTAAGTTAGGGAGGGAAGAGAATGCCTATTGTACTCCTCCAAGACAGCAGCTCATAGTTGTATTATGCTCAGTGTGCCAAGAAATATGGTAATGATATAGCTCAGAGCTTGGGCTAAATTATGCATTAATTGGACTAAGTTATATGTAATGATACACATAGCTCAAAGCTTGGACTAAGTTATATGTAATGATACATATGGTTCAGAGCTTGATACATTGCTCTTAAAGTTGAAGGAAAAAAACAAACTAAAAACATAAAAGACTGTTGATACTCCATATGGACAAAGTATCTTGCTAAAGTTTTGTGGTTAAGTGATGTTGTTTATACTTTGCTACAGTATGTTAAAAATATATATTTTTATATACAGTATTATGTATAATGAAAGGATATTCTGTTACAGATATTTTCTATGAGTATATTTAGTATATGGCATTTTTTATGATTTATGAGAAAAGTTTATTTTGATAATGATCACCTTCACATTGTGAGGGAAATAGAGTCCATGCATTGTGCTTACTAGAATATTTTGTATATCAGTGGCACTGTATTCCAACAGTTTTGCTAATAAGACAAAATGATATTGTGTGTGTGTTTCCATCAATAGGCCTATTTATTTTAAACCTTTGCTTTGAAAGCAAATGTGGAATCTGGCAATGTGTCAAAACACAGAGATCAAAAATTTTTGTGTTAATCTCCAGGGTTTGTTAGCTGGACCTCAGCAATGAGAGCGGCTACTCTCACCGCTGGCAACGGCGACCACTGCACTAGATTTAGAGAAATCTATGCATTTAAGCCTATAAAAGAAAATGTGATTCATTTGATGAAAGAAAAGTTAAAAAATTATGCTATAGTGGGCCATTATATCGAGGTTGGCGGCTCCTTTGTTCGTATGCTTATGCAAATGTGTGTTTTATGAATATATATTTATTATCAACAAATTTTGTTGAAAATAAGAAAAAGTTTTGGAGTGAGATTAACAAGTTAAGAAAGCCTAGAGAACAAATGGATTTGTCAGTTAAAAATAGGAGAGGAGAGTTATTAAATGGAGAGTTAGAGGTATTGGGAAGATGGAGGGAATATTTTGAGGAATTGTTAAATGTTGATGAAGATAGGGAAGCTGTGATTTCGTGTATAGGGCAAGGAGGAATAACATCTTGTAGGAGTGAGGAAGAGCCAGTTGTGAGTGTAGGGGAAGTTCGTGAGGCAGTAGGTAAAATGAAAGGGGGTAAGGCAGCCGGGATTGATGGGATAAAGATAGAAATGTTAAAAGCAGGTGGGGATATAGTTTTGGAGTGGTTGGTGCAATTATTTAATAAATGTATGGAAGAGGGTAAGGTACCTAGGGATTGGCAGAGAGCATGCATAGTTCCTTTGTATAAAGGCAAAGGGGATAAAAGAGAGTGCAAAAATTATAGGGGGATAAGTCTGTTGAGTGTACCTGGTAAAGTGTATGGTAGAGTTATAATTGAAAGAATTAAGAGTAAGACGGAGAATAGGATAGCAGATGAACAAGGAGGCTTTAGGAAAGGTAGGGGGTGTGTGGACCAGGTGTTTACAGTGAAACATATAAGTGAACAGTATTTAGATAAGGCTAAAGAGGTCTTTGTGGCATTTATGGATTTGGAAAAGGCGTATGACAGGGTGGATAGGGGGGCAATGTGGCAGATGTTGCAAGTGTATGGTGTAGGAGGTAAGTTACTGAAAGCAGTGAAGAGTTTTTACGAGGATAGTGAGGCTCAAGTTAGAGTATGTAGGAAAGAGGGAAATTTTTTCCCAGTTGGTTGAGGGTCCACTGTATATATGTGAAAAACGGTGGCTCGTAAGACGTATGTATACGACCGAAATAGACAAAGGGATAATACTTATGGGTGTTTGGAACGGATTAATTCTATTTCCATTATTTCTTATGGGGTAAATTAATTCGACTAACGGCTAGCTCTCTGGAACAGATTAATGCTGTTGGTCGAGGGTCCACTGTATTAATTGTACTAACTGGACAGAGGAGAGCAGAAGAGGAGAAGAGAAGAGGAAGGCACATGAAAGCAGCAGTGAAATCTTTGGCCCCTATGCATGACATTTCTCCTAAACCTTAGAGTATAAAATGCAGTACTAACAGTATAAAAAGTAAAGTAAAAAATGAAATACAAAAATATTAAAATAAAATCATTACAATAACTGTGACGCTGATATACAGTAGTAAAATATTTAGTAAAAAGTAACATACGATACTACGTAGCTAATAAAGAGTCGGAGAACCAATCAGGAACCTTCTAGGAAGAAGTGCTGACACAAGCAAGATAGAGCAGCCGACAAAATGTTCTATTCTTACACTAATATCAATAAAAAGGCTTATTTACCTATCACAATTGATCTATTATGACATAAGGCGAAATATCAACAGCACAGAATAAATATTATCTAGTACAGTGGAACCTCAAATTTCGAATTTAATCCATTGCAGGAGCTAGTTCTAAATTCGAAAAGTCTGAAATTCGAAGCAATATTTCCCCTAAGAAATAATGGAAATACAATTAATCCGTTCCAGAAACCCAAAAATATTCACAAAAATAATACATTTTATAGAGATTAATTACAGTTTTACATACACACAACAAATGCTATAGTCTTTAATTATGTATAGTAATATAAAATAACATTTTTACTTACCTTTATTGAAGATTGGTGATGGCATCTGGAAGATAGGGAGGAGGAGAGAGGGAGTTGGGGTTAGTGTTTGGAAGGAGAATCCCCCTCCATGAGGACTTCCGGTATCAAAGCCCTCTCTGGGGTTGCTTCCATTCTCTGTATTGTAATGCCACTAGGACCAGCTTGAGAGTCATTGGACCCCAGTCTCACAAAATAACTGTCTACAGTCCTCTGTTTCTGTCTCACAAAATAACTATCTACAGTCATCTGTTTCTGTCTCACAAAATAACTGTCCACAATCGTCTGTTTGTCTCACAAAATAACTCCACAGTCGTCTGTTTCTGTCTCACAAAATAACTGTCCACAATCGTCTGTTTGTCTCACAAAATAACTCCACAGTCGTCTGTTTCTGACTCACAAAATAACTCCACAGTCATCTGCTTCTGTTTCTGTCTCACAAAATAACTGTCCACAGTTGTCTGTTTCTGACTCACAAAATAACTCCACAGTCATCTGCTTCTGTTTCTGTCTCACAAAATAACTGTCCACAGTTGTCTGTTTCTGTCTCACAAAATAACTGTCCACAATCGTCTGTTTGTCTCACAAAATAACTGTCCACAATCGTCTGTTTCTGTCTCACAAAATAACTGTCCACAATCGTCTGTTTGTCTCACAAAATAACTCCACAATCGTCTGTTTCTGTCTCACAAAATAACTCCACAGGCATCTGTTCTGTCTCACAAAATAACTGTCCACAATTGTCTGTCTCAAATAACTCCACAGTCGTCTGTTTCTGTCTCACAAAATAACTCCACAGTCGTCTGTTTCTGTCTCACAAAATAACTGTCCACAATCGTCTGTTTCTGTCTCACAAAATAACTCCACAGTCGTCTGTTTCTGTCTCACAAAATAACTGTCCACAATCGTCTGTTTCTGTCTCACAAAATAACTGTCCACAGTCGTCTGTTTCTGTCTCACAAAATAACTGTCCACAGTCGTCTGTACATCCTGGCAAGCTCAACAAGTCTCACTCCAATCTCATACTTCTGTATTATTTCCTTCTTCACATATATGGTGTTTCTCACTTTTTTTACCACAGGGGTACCGCTAGCAAGTTTCTTTGGGCCCATGGCAACTTATTTCACAGTCCCACAAGCACTAAACACAATTAAATAATCATAAAATGTGTGAATGAGATTGCAGGTTAGTGTTCACTCAAGCATAAACAAAGCTAGACTGCTCACGGCGCCTGCGCGGGGACGCGGACAGAGCAGGCCAGTGGACAGGTCCCGTACCCGGCGGTCAGAAAATAGGGGTGCGTTCGATAATAGGGACACAGTTTGTCCGAAAAATGTTCTTATTTTCGAAACGTTCGATATGTGATACGTTTGATGTTTGAGGTTCCACTGTATAATATGAAGGCCTGCTGTGCAGATAGGGACTTTGTAGACACCACAGACCATAAGGCATATTATTTCTTCTTTCATCACTCTTATGTGAGAAAATGGATCTAGCATGAGGGTAAACTGTAATCGACACTCATAGCTTACGAAAACACTGAAAAAAAGGGGTTTTTTAGGGAAAAAAAAATATTTCCTGAGTACTTGGGTGTGTGCATGCTTTTGGCTATTATCTCGGAAGTAAGTTATTCACCTATTTTGTGAAAACCAATCAGCAATAATGAATGGATTGAAGTAATTTCCACAACAAACATTAGGATTTAATTTTTGAAGTATCCCTATTGTCAATTTTCTAAGGCTTGACTTACATCCATTTTGACTTACGACCAGTTGGTTGGAACAAAGCTTGGTTATAAGTAGGATGGTAGGTGTATTCAATTAAAGAGAGAAATAAAAAAGGGAATAAGAAAAGCTAAAAGAGATTATGAGGCTAAAGTGGCAAGGGATTCGAAGACTAACTGAAAAGGTTTCTTTCAGGTATATAAAAGTAAGATTAGTAACTCAGGTCGGATCACTGACAGTGATAAGGAAAACTGTGAATTTTTTAACTACTATTTCCTCTCAGCTTTTACGCAGGAAGATACGTACTAGCAAAATTCCAGAAAAAAATAAATTACAGCAGACCGTCATTTAGCCCGATTCGGGTCTAGCACGACTGAAGAATTGCGGCACAATTTTACGCAACACGTAAAATAAAGTTAACACTGTTGCGCGAGGGGAAAAATTTTTGAGTGAGCGGTCACCCGCGGTGGGTTACACCACAAGGTCTCAACACCGCCATCCCCCCACCACCCTCAGCCACCCTGCCAGCCTTCAGTTAGGTTCATACTCGTGTACGACGACAATACTCAGGAAGTTCGCTGTGTTTATTTATATACATTGTACATATTTTCATTGCCATTTGTTAAATCTGTCAAGCAATCATGGCACCCAGTATGCATACAAGTGTTGCTGATAATGACAAGTCTAGGAATTATGAAGAAAATCAAGATATTAGATGAGCTTAAGAGTGGCTCATGTGTCGCGGATAAAGTGACTGCCTGCTGCCTTAATAAAGCATCAGTTGTACAATTAAGAGGAACGAGGCAAATATACGAGCTTGACAGACTTACTGAATGACTCGACTGACTTACTGACTTGACTGACTGACTGACTGACTTGCTTGACTGACTTATTGAATGACTTGACTTATTGACTTGACTGAATGACTTACTGACTTGATTGAATGAGTTACTGACTTGACTGACTGACTTACTTGATTGATTTACTAACTTGACTGAAGACTTACTGATTTGAATGACTGACTGACTTTACTGACTTACTTGACTGAATGGCTGACTTGACTGACTGAATGATTTGACTGACTTACTGAAAGACTTGATTGATTTACTAACTTGACTGAATAACTTACTGACTGAATGACTTACTGACATGACTTACTGACTTGATTGAATGACTTACTGACTTGAGTGAATAAGTTATTGACTTGACTGACTTACTGAATGACTTTAGACATTTTCACTGAAGAGGACCCTGAAACAGTGTCTAGAGCAGCTGATGTCTTACCGTCAGTTGTATAATGTACCATAGGATAAAATAGAACAGAAAATCATTACAGAATTTATGCACGCTTCAGTACAATCATCGACTTCAGTACCAGAATCTCTACCATCCACCTCAGCCCAGTAGGGCCACAACATAATTCTCCTCTGTCTTCACAATCATCCACAAACACCAACACCCACAATTTAAGGTAAGAAATACTATAATTTCTTTTGCATTTGTAATCTTAAGCAGTAAAAACAACATAATACATCACAATAATGAACAACAATTACATATTCACTTTTATTTTTGTATGATCTGTTGGTCTAAAAAAAAGTTGTTTGGCTTTTAGGGGGCTCCCAGGATTGTAACCCTATTTTTCCCATAAGTTATTCAGTTCATCTAACACAATTTTACCCAACACAGCATTTCCAGGAACGTCACTACCACGTTAACCCTTTCAGGTTCGGTAAAAATTCGAAAAAAAAAAAAAAAAAAAATTCTTATGAAAAGATAGTGCTTTTCTTTCTGAATTTTATAGGCTAAACAAAATTTTTTTACCATCAATATTTACCGAGATATGGAAGCATGAAGTTGACAGAAAATGACCGGCATACAGTAACATCGCCTACTGCCGGTCACCCGGCATTAGTTTATTTTATTTTTTAGGTGCTATTTTCTATTATTTTTTAATTTTTTGTTTCCAAATAACTATTATGGCCTGTGAGACCAATATGAGCACTATTTTGTAAGTTATTTCTTTTTTTATACTAAACAATAACTGCATAAACACTGATATCACTATTTTGTTTACAAAAGATATTTACACAAACGAACAATACAATATATTGTTTATTACTATTTTTCTATATTTTATATATACATATACAGCCACAGGACATGTTTCTAGAAGTTCTGCAGCCTGTGGAAGTCTTTGAAACATGGTGTCATGCACACTGGTGTTTTACACTCCTCACACATAAAACGAGTGTCTCTGCGTTGTTGTGGGTGTTTTTTTGTATGTGCACAGACATAACACCGCTTCTGAGCCTTTTTCTTGAAAGCAGTAGCAGGCAGTTTTGTTAGGAAGTGATCACCATGCTTCAGACAAGAAGGAAGTTGTTGATAATTACGTGGGCGGTTTTCTATTGCAGGTGCTGTTCTTTGGTACTTGATCAATATTTGTCTGATGACAGACAAACAAAATTCACCATATGGTGGTTTGTTTCTGGTCCTCATCTTATGTATATTATAAGCATTGAGCATGGAAAAGTCCAAAATACAGAAAAAGAGTTTTATGTACCACTTATAACTCTTGCTAACACAATCAGCAAACCCAATCTGCATGTCACATTTGCCCACCAAACACATATTGAGGGTGTAGTCAATCACAGCTGCAGGTTTTAGAATGGGCTCATTTCTTTTTCTATGCTGCCTGCCAGTGTCTGCCATTTCATTAGGGTGAACTGATGACAACAGTGTGACATCTCGTTTGTCATGCCACCAAAATGCCATGATGTCATTGGCAGCAAACGCCTGCACCTCACCTCTACGAGTGCCAGTGTCGAGCCTGGGCACATGTTTACGATTTGCATGCACTGTGCCACACACATCTGTCATGTTCGCTCGCAAGAAATCACTGAGTAAGGGGCTTGTGTACCAGTTATCAGCATACAATATATGTCCCTTACCAAGATATGGTTCCATTATTGTTCTAACCACATCACCGGAGATACCCAATAACTTCCTGGTATCTTGCAATGTATTACTTCCAGTGTACACAATTATATCCAATACAAGACCACTGTAACAATCACAAAGCACAAACAACTTTATACCAAAACATTTCCTCTTGCTTGGTATGTATTGCTTGAATGAGAGTCTTCCTATGAACAGAATCAAAGACTCATCAATAACAATCTTCTTGAAGGGATAAAAATACATATTGAATTTCTGTTTCAGATACACAAACACATGGCTAATCTTATATAACCTGTCATTTCTGTCAGGCCTGGTTTTGTCTGAGAAGTGAAGCATATGTAACAGTAGCACAGATCGATTCACTGGTATTATGTCACTGAAACCTGAGGTTGTAATCAGGCGGTCTGTTGACCAGTATGATTTCACACTGTGCTTATACACATGTGGCATAAGCATTATTGTAGGAAACAAAAGATACATCTCAGCCACAGTTCTCTCCTTCCACTGGTGTAGCCGTGAGCTTGGTGAAAGTATTGTTTGCCATGGTGTACTCGTAGTATCTGTTGCTTTCCCTGACAATATTTTCCATCAGAGGTTTGTCAAAGAATAACTTGAAACATTCCAGTTCAGTGGCATTGCTCCCAAGTGTACAACATGGCCATATTCCACTTTGGCTTTCATCAAACTGATGGGGATTTGGAACAAAATTGGCAGCTTCCTGCCAATCCCAGGTGCGGTCTGCTGGTGGGTACTGGATATTGACAGGTAGTTGTGGTTGTAGAGGTTGTGGTTGTGGAGGATGTGGTTGTGGAGGTTGGTGTAGAGGCTGGTGTGGTGGGTGGGTGGGGGATGGTGGCCTTTGTTGTAGATCAGCTGAGGCAGCGGCATGGGTGGCAGCATGGCCCACTGCTGGTGCCTCACAGCCGGCACCACCACTACCACCACCATGCACATTTTCCATCCCATTTGCAACACTATCATCTTCATTTTCACTATCTGTTCCTGTTGTACAGCCATGGGATGTACTCCGAGATGTGCTCCTTAAGCCTTTCAGGGTCCAAGGCCAAAATCTGAAGTGGTGCCCCAGTGTCTTAAGAATTTAAAAAAAAAAAAAAATTTATTTGTTCTTATGAAATGGTAGAGAATCTTTTGTGAAGGTAATGAAACAAAAAGTACGAAATCTGATGGAAAATTGACGAAATTATGCTCTCGCAAATTTTTGTGTGTCAGCAATATTTACGAATCAGCGATTTTGCCAACTTTGACTCCCATTTTAGGCCAATTACATTATTCCAGTCGACCAAATTCTTAGCTATTTCACTAGTATTACTTCTATTCTATCTATTGAGCACAAGAAATTGCCAAGTCAACTGTTTCAACTACAAAATAAAGTGATCGGAAATTGGTAATTTGGCCAATTTAACACAAAGTTCAAAATATTCCAATTTCAAAATAGGATCCAGAATAAACAATGTAGGTATTCCTGGCACTAAACTAACATTTCCTCTGTTCATTAGTTATGTTTTGAGGCTTTACAAATAAATTCCATTTTGATTTTTTATTCACATAATGAATTTTTATTCACACCAAAAAATAGAAGATTTACTGTTATGAAATATTGCAATAATTGTATAAATATCATTACCACATTTGTGAATGTATATTAGACCCACCAGCTGGCGTGTATTAGACGTGTGAGGTCGTTTGTTTACTCTTGAACATCGGCAAAAATTCAACATTTCCGCTACTTTGAGCTCAGTTTCAAGCCATTTCCAGTGCCAAAACCAATCAAAATCATCTCTATTTCTGTAATATGTCTTCCATTCTATCAAATGAGACAAAGAAATCGCAAATACAACTATAAAAAAACATACGAAAAAACACTGCAAAGTCGCTGTTTTAATCGAAAATCACGGTCTCAGTTTTTTTTCTCTCATTATACACAGTGTGCTGCAGGATTTGTTTTATGTGGTGGACACATACCACATAGATGTATTCTCTCATATCTAGGCCCAAATTTGCCACTCACAGTTTATCAGAGTGAGCTGATCTCAAGGCGTACATCTATGGTTTGGACCCTGAAAGTAAAGCCGTAGATCTACGGGACGGACCCTGAAAGGGTTAACCTTGGAATAGCATATGGCACACTACAAGAGCGCCTATACCATCGTATATACTGATGCTTCACTGGAGAATATTCCACTTCACTATCACCATTGGAACTGTTTTCAAGAGCTTGTGGTTCATATTCACTATCACTTTCATCACCAATGCTCACATCTGAGTCTGGGATATGGGAAAATAGGAGTTTCCTCTTTGGTTCTGGTACAACTGAATGTGAACGAGATGCCCCAGCACCAGAGATGGAAGGCTGAGGGTTGTCTGGATTTTCCTCACTATTACCGGTATTGTGGTCATTAGTTTCAGTCACAACCTCATCAAAACCTTGAAACTCATCTTCACTGGCACTTCCATCTGTATTAGAACTGTCACTGGGGAACAAAAGTGTCCCAATTCGCCGAGGAGTGAGGAGTCTCTTACCGCGAGGCATGGTGAACAAGGTCTACTAAAATGGTGTTCCCACAATGCGCCACTGGGTCCCAGAATTTTTTTCTACCACGCACACCAACCACACAGACTCATTTTCTCACATTTAGGCCTACCAGCTGTTTCCCGCTTAATTTGAAGCCGCTAGAATTTATGCGTACTAGTACGGCACCAACCCTGGCACACAAGCCACACTAGTACAGCACCAACCCTGAAAGGGTTAAACTGTCCAAACGTAGATTTAAGTTTTCACTGCCAGCACTCCGAATATTTTGATGAATATTTTTTTTTTAAATTAACCTTTTTGGGGTCCAGAGGGGAATTTCAAAGTGTGTGCCAGGGTCCAAGAATTTTCAAAAAACTTTTTCATTATTTTTTCTTATGAAATGGTAGAAAATCTTTTTCTGAAGGTAATAAAACAAAAAGTACAATATCTGATGGAAAATTGACAAAATTATGCTCTCGTGAATTTTAATGTGTCAGCGATATTTACACATCGGTGGTTTTGCTGATTTATACTCCCATTTTAGGCCAATTACATTATTCCAGTCGACCAAATTCCTACCTAATTCGCTAGTTTTCTTTCTATTCTATCGAATGAGCACAAGAAATCGCCCAGTCAGCTGTTTCAACTACAAAATAAAGTGATCAGAAATTGGTAATTTGGCCAATTTAATGCAAAGTTCAAAATATTCCAATTTAAAAATAGGGTCCAGAATAAACAATGCAGGCATGCCTGACACTAAACTAACATTTCTTCTGCTCATTAGTTACATTTTCAGGCTTTACAAGTGAATTCCATTTTGATTTTTTATTCACATAATGAATTTTTATTCACCAAAAAATAGAAGACTTACTGTTATGCAATATTGTAATAATTGTATAAATAATATCACCACATTTGTGAATGTATATTAGACCCAACAGCTACCGTGTATTAAACATGTGAGATCATTTGTTTACTCTTGAAAATTGGTAAAAATTTAACATTTCCGCTATTTTGAGCTCGTTTCAAGCCATTTCCGTTAATAAAAATAATAAAAATCATCTCTGTTTTCTGTAATATATCTTCAATTCTATCAAATGAGACAAAGAAATTGCAAATATAACTATAACAAACACATGAAAAAAACACTGCAAAGTTGCTGTTTTAATCGAAAATTAGTCTCAGTTTTTTTCTCATTATACACAGTGTGCTGCAGGATTTGTTTTATGTGGTGCACACTTACCACATAGATGTATTCTCTCATATCTAAGCCCAAATTTACCACTCTGAGCTTATCAGAGT